GGGGCTGTCACAAAAGGACTGGGAAAGCAAAGTGACTGCCATTGAGGAAGCCAAGGATCTGAACACTTTACCCATTGAATCTCTGATTAACTCTCTAACTTCTTACGAACTGAAACTTAAATCTAAGATGCAGGATGAAGAAGACACCCAGGTAAGAAAGAGTATTGCTCTGAAAGCTTCACAATACGAAGATGAAACAGCCTCACAGGATGGAAATGATTTGGAAGGTGATGACAGTGATATTGCACTCATCACACGAGGCTTTAAAAGAATACTCAACAAGAGAAGATTCAGAAAAGGTGGATCCAGCAATTCCTTCCCAAATCAGTCTAATGACTTCAGAAACAAAGGGAAACTGGAGTTCAACAAGAAGCAGACTGATAAGTGTTTCGAATGTGGCCAACCAGGACACTATGTAAATGAGTGTCCAATGAAGAAAAAGAAGGAGAACAAGGTTGAACGAAAATCAAAGTTCAACAATTTCCAGATCACCTGGAATGATTGCAACTCAGAATGTGAAGTTGAGGAAGAAGAGGAATCTGCTCAAGTGGCTTTCATGGCCATTGGTGATGATGAGGTAACTGCTTGTAGTTCCCAAACTGATAGTGGCAATGAATCTGATGATGATGTTAATTCATTTTTGGAAAAGATGCACAACAATTTGAAAGAATCTTATATCAGAAACAAAGAACTAAAACAGAAAATTAATTTTTTGATTCAAGACAATGCAAACCTTTTTCGACAAAACAAACATTTGAAAAATGAAAATGATAATCTGAAAAAGATTGAATTTGATTTACATACTGAACTTGACAAAAGGACAAACCTCTGTGACATTCTCAAAAAGGAACAAAACTGCTTGAAAAGAAGAATGAATGATCTTGATCAGTTACTCCAACATCAGAAACAAAGCCTCTTTCAAAGAAGTAGCACAAGATCTCACTTTGATATTCATCAGAATAGGTTAAATTATCGAACAAATGAGTTCACTGTCTATAGGAGAAGGCAAGTCAGATTTATAAAACCTGTTCACTCGAGTGATTTATCAACTATGTGCAGTTTCTGCTGTCAATTTGGTCACATGAATAGCAATTGTTATGTCAAGAAAAATATGAGAAATGGCATGAGATGCATGTGGATGGTTAGACATAATGCTGACTCTCAAGGACCCAACATGTAAAGGGTACCAAGTATTATCTTGTGGGTTTGTGTGTAGGTGAACCTGGATAACATTGCTAAAGAATCAAAATGGTTCATTGATAGTGGATGTTCAAGACATATGACTGGTGATGCATCACAATTCATTAAACTCAAGCCAAAAGCGAGTGGAAAGGTAACGTTTGGAGATGATAACAAAGCCAAAACTATTGGTATTGGTGATGTTGGTAAGAATGGTCAAACCTTTATCCACAATGTCCTTCTTGTTGACAATCTGAGCTACAATTTATTAAGTGTTTGTCAATTGTGTGATAGGAATCTGTTTGTATTGTTCAAGAAGCTTGAATGTCTCATATTTGACTCAAAGTTCAACATTATTTTCAAAGGAAAAAGAGTTAATGATATCTATGTAGTTGTTCTTGAAAAATTTGATTCCTCCTATCTCAAATGTCTCAAAGTAGCAAATGAGGACCCATGGTTGTGGCATAGAAGGCTGTGTCACTTCAATATGGATTTGCTAAAAGAAATTTCTAAAAAGGATCTTGTTAGAGGTCTCCCAAAAATCAGATTTGAAAAGGACCGGATATGTGATGCTTGTCAATTTGGAAAACAAGTCAAGGTATCTTTTAAACCTAAGAAATGTGTTTCCACTTCAAAGCCACTAGAACTTTTACACCTTGATCTGTTTGGTCCTACACAAACTACAAGCCTTGGTGGTAAAAGATTTTGTTTTGTTGTTGTTGATGATTATTCCAGATATACATGGGTGATGTTTCTTGCACATAAAGATGATGCTTTCAAGAATTTCGTATCACTGTTTGCTAAAGTTCAGAATTTGATTGGCTTGAAAATTATCAAAATTAGAAGTGATAATGGCACTGAATTTCGTTTTTGTGACTTTCCAGATTTTTGTGATAACAATGGCATTACACATGAATTCTCTATTGCTAGAGTCCCCCAACAAAATGGAGTTGTAGAAAGAAAAAATAGAACTCTCCAAGAGGCTGCTAGAACCATGCTTAGTGAGTGCAATTTATCAAAGTATTTTTGGGCTGAAGCCATAAACACAGCCTGTTATACCATGAACAGAGTTCTCTTAAGACCAATTTTGAACAAAACTTCCTATGAGCTCATGTTTGACAAAAAGCCTGTTGTTGGTTACTTTAAAGTCTTTGGTTGTAAATATTCATTTTGAACATCAAGGAACATCTTGGGAAGTTTGACAAGAAATCTGATGAGGGAATTTTCTTGGGATATTGTGAAAACAAAAGAGGCTTCAGAGTCTATAATCGTAGAACACTGGTTATAGAGGAGGCGATACACATTACTTTTGATGAATCTAATGGTGACATTTCCATGAGTTGTGGTGAAGATGATGATACAGGTGTACAAGAAGAATTAAAGAAGTTAGCAATTAATGATCATGGCTCTGCTTCACCAGAAATTGATTTAAAGAATGCTGATACTCAAGACAGTCCAGCTGGAGAAGTAAATGACAGAGATACTACTACTCCTAATGATCTTCCAAGAACCTGGAAATTTGTCCAGAACCATCCCAGGGAGCTCATAATTGGTGATCCATCTGAAAAGGTCAGAACTCGTTCCTCTAGACACCTAGTAGATAATCTTGCTTTAGTATCACACTTTGAACCTAAAAATGTTGTTGATGCATTGAATGATGAGCACTGGATTTTAGCTATGGAAGAAGAGTTAAACCAATTTGAAAGAAACAAGGTTTGGACCCTGGTTGCTAGACCACAAGACCATCCCATCATTGGCACAAAGTGAGTTTTTAGAAACAAAATGAATAATAAGGGGGAGGTTGTTAGAAATAAGGCCAGGTTGGTGGCTAAGGGATACACTCAAGAAGAGGGAATAGACTTTGATGAGTCCTTTGCGCCTGTAGCTAGGCTGGAGTCCATTAGAATGTTTCTAGCATTTGCATGTTTCAAGAATTTTAAATTATTTCAAATGGATGTTAAAAGTGCCTTCTTAAATGGTTTTATAGATCAAGAAATCTATGTTGACCAACCTCCTGATTTTGAAAATGAATCTTATCCAGATCATGTTTTTAAACTCTCAAAAGCTTTATACGGATTAAAACAAGCTCTTAGAGCATGGTATGAACGTTTGAGTGGGTTTTTGATTGAAAATGGTTTTAAAAGGGGCATTGTAGATACTACACTTGTCACAAAACAAAGCTCACGAGATCTTTTAATTGTGCAAATATATGTGGATGATGTCATATTTGGTGCTACTAATGAGAGCTTGTGCAAGGACTTTTCCAACATTATGCAAAGAGAATTTGAAATGAGCATGATGGGAGAATTAAACTTCTTTCTTGGACTCCAAGTGGTTCAAACCCGAGATGAAACGTTTATAAATCAAACAAAATACACCAAGGAGCTGCTGAAAAGATTCGGAATGGAGAACTCAAAGCCTGTTGGAACACCTATGTGCACATCTACCAAACTTGACAAAGATGAAGAAGGTACAAAAGTTGAGGAAAAGAAGTATAGAGGTATGATTGGAAGTTTACTTTATTTAACTGCCAGTAGGCCTGATATCATGTTTGTTGTATGCTTATGTGCTCGATTTCAATCCTGTCCAAAGGAATCACACTTGAATGCGGTAAAAAGAATTCTTAGATATCTTAAAGGAACCTTAAACTTTGGCTTGTGGTATCCAAAATGTCATGAACTTCCTTTATGTGGATTTTCTGATGCTGACTTCGGTGGTTGTAAAATAGATAGAAAAAGTACTACTGATATATGCAACTTTCTTGGAAATTGCTTAGTATCTTGGTTTAGTAAAAAACAAAATGCTATCTCATTGTCCACTACTGAAACTGAATATGTTGCTGCTGGTGCTTGTTGTGCTCAATTGTTATGGATGAAAAACATATTGAATGATCTTGGTTTAGTATATGAATGTGTACCTATGTACTGTGACAACACTAGTGCAATTAATCTGACAAAAAATCCCATTCAACACTCTAGGACTAAGCACATAGATATAAAGCATCATTTCATTCGCGATCTTGTCTCCAAGGGGGTAATCTGTGTTCAGTTTGTTTGTTCTAAAGATCAAATCGCTGATATCCTCACAAAAGCTCTTCCACTGGATCAATTTGTGTTCTTGAGAACAAAACTGGGCGTTTCAGAAAAAATATTCTAAGTTTCGTTTCTGGTCAATCTTTATCGGACGTCCGATGAATTGGAAGGGACGTCCGACAGTGTTCTTCGTCCTGTTTCAGAAAAGCACTGGTTCGGACAGTTGTGTCGGACGCTTCACTTCGTTCGGACGTCCGACACTCAAAAATTGAGCCTTATAAGGCAGTTACCCATCTTACTCAGTTCATTTTCCTCCACGGTGTCGGACACAACCTTTCAGTTTCCTCTCATATTTAAAATTCAAATTCCTCTCTCCTCAAATCAAGTTCCAAGAAATTGACTCAACCAACACCATTACACCTCTATTGCTCGTTAACCATCCATAAAAATCACTCCTAACCCCAACTACCCCATATTTCCCAATTCCCATGCGAATACCTTAACTTCTCATAACTCTCTCCTTGCGGCATTTCAGTGCATTCTCGTTTGCTCATACTGCATTCTTCCTCTATACACCACGTTCTGCATCAAAAACACATCCACATTGCATCATGGTTAGAATCAGAGGAAGTTCTACTAGTGCCGGATGGTCTTTTAGACTCAGAGATGAGGACATTGAAATTGGGGAACCGTCTACCAAGGCACCTAAAAAGAAAATTGTGACCCGTGGTGGTAAAGTGAAGCAAACTGCCCAAAGAAAAAGGGTTTCTCCAACTGCTGAACCATCTGATGAGCAGATGGAAGAGCAGAACTCTGAAGGAAACACAGTTGGTGGAAATGAGGAACCAGAATGGGCTACCCAGGAATGATGAAACTGTCACAAGGTCATCTGGTAAAAGAAAAAGAACTGCAAAAAGGAAGAGCACTCCCCAATCCAAGAAAAGGCAACCTGCTAATCCCTCTGATGGTCAGCAGAATGAAGGAAACATTGCTGAGAATCAGCAAACACTTGAACCCTCCACCAGGAAATCTCCAAGGACAAGGACTGAGGCTCAAAATGTTGGGTCATCTGCCACACAAACCTCGAAAAGGAAACGTTCTGGGAAGGATCCAGTATCTCAGCCCGTAATCGAACCCACTCCCCTTCCAAAATTCATTGATGATGAAGCCAGAGACAGATTTGACTTGGTCTCTCAAAAAGGGTTCATCACCCAAAGGCTCATCCTTCCCTATGAATTTCGTAAACTTGATCTTGAACCAGTTGTAGAAAGCTCTCTTATGGCAAATTTCTGACCCCTATCTTTGCCCATTTTGAAATACCTTTTTCTGGAAAATCACCCAAAGACAGTGCTTCAACAGTTTTCTCAAAAGCTTATTTTGAAAGAAAGAACTTAAGATTTTTTGATGGCCATTGGTGCTATAAGGAGACTGTGGCTGAGTCTAGAAGGAAAAACTTTCATGAAACCCCTGTCACTCCTAGGACTCCTCGTGATCAGTCAGACTATATCTCTCCTTTCACCATTCATCCTAGAAAGTCTGCCAGCAAGTCCCTCTCTTCCAATTCTGAGGTCGTCTCCTTGCTTGAAGACCTCAAACAGCATGTTATGCTTATTGAAGATGGTCTCATGATGACCATGACCCCTGCCCAACAATCTTCTTTCATTGAAAAAAGGAACATTCTTGTGCCTCCAATACCTGAAAATAATGAAAATACTCATCAGAAAGAGCCAAGACCTGAGCCCACAGGGCCAACTACAGGTACTGAGGCCACACCAGCTTCCAGCTCTAAACCCAAGGATAAAGGCAAGGCTCCAGCTACTGAGGAGGCATATGAAGAAGACGATGAAGAAACTGAGGAAGAAGTGTATCCTGAACAGTTTCGTCTGGCCAGGAAGAGGCCTGGATCATCTAAAATCACTATCTAGGCACTGCTAGGTCACTGCACTTTATTTTTAGGACTATAGTTCATCTTTTGCACTGTAAAACTTTTCGTATGCTATGTACTAAGAATTGTACTTCTGGTCTGTACAACTGGATATTTTCTACTGTTTATGGATGCTATGACTGAGTGTTTCTGATGTTATCTGATGTGAATGGATGTGTTTCTGATGATTTCGGATTGTGCTGAGCATGAATGGATTTTGCTGATATTATCTGATTGAAAAATCTTTGTTGTCAAATTTTTTTTGTTGCTAATGTTTCTGATGGATCGTGCTGATGTTATCTGATGTTGCTGGTATCAAAATTGATCAGACATGGCATACCTGTTTTTGTGATGACAAAAAGGGGGAGAAATGGATTAGCACTGATGGTGTAAAGAAATTAGTTAGGGGGAGTTGCGTTTCTTTTTGTATACTAATGCACTTCGTTAGGGGGAGCTGTAATCCCAGCTCGTATTTCTACTTTTTTTTTTGCTCTATCCAAGTGTTTTGTCATAATCAAAAAGGAGGAGATTGTTTATCTCAACTCATATCTTTTGATGATTACAAAACAAACGGATGTTACTAATACTTTTTGCAGAGACTCGTTTCAGAAATGGCACTAAACAGGTTTGAGAACTTAGAGCAAAAAGAAAATCAAAAAGGTGAAAAGTGCTGAGGAAGATGTCGGACGCACAAAAGGAGAGTATCGGACGTCCGACATCCATTGAGTAACTTCGGACGTATGAAGAACTCAGACTCGGACGTCCGAAGAAGACAAGTCAGGGCTTCTGCGATTACTGATCACGATCGGATGCTCAACACCTGAGCATCGGACGTCCGACAAGCGTTGCTGCATTTCGGACGCAACATATTGGACGCATCGGCCGTCCAAAGAAATTGAAGAGGAACCTCCAAGTCTGTATCTTACCCTCGGACGCATGGTGAGAGGGGATCGGACGTCTTAAGTGGTTCAAGAAAATTTCTCGAACTCACTGACCTCGCTCGGACGCATAAAAACTGACTATCGGACGTCTGACAGCACCAACGGCTAGTTGACTCTTCAGATGCCCTCTATCCGTTGACAGCATTAATTGAAGAATTTTTTGATCTCCTATAAAAAGAACAAAGTCAACCACCTCAGAACAACTTTGCATATCAAGTCTACATCAAATCGTGAGTGATTCAAGTGTTAGAATACTCCAAAGGAACATTTGTATTCTTAGCTTGTGCAATTTTCTTGTAGCTTTTCAAGTGTGACACAGCTTCTTCAATAGTGTAGCATTGTGAGGGTTATCCGAGTGTTTGTAAAACGTCCTTGCTTGACCAAGTGAGGTTTGGGGCAAGAAGGAAGTGATCCTTCCCTTGTACACAAGAAATTGGTTGCAAGATTGTTCAACTTGAAGTAGCTTGTTATATAAAGTGTTGTTCAAACTCAAGTGGAGTTTGAAGCCTGGTTTGTTTCTCTACTTTCGTTTATAGCTTTACTATATAAACTGTTCACCTCTTCATCTCACGAACACCTGTGCTTTCTTGTAAACTGATCCATTGAGTGGTCTTTGAGAAAAGAAGGGTAGGCTTGAAAAAGAGTGACCTATATCTTAGCTGGTTTTAGAAAACCTAATTCACTCCCCCTCTTAGGTTGTCTTCGATCCTTACATAAACGCATGGTCCTAACACCCCTCACACCCGCACAAGTATATGAGGACCAACTTAAATTGCAACGAGAATGTGACTTAGACCGACACAAGAGGAAACAAAAGACGGCCGAATCTGGAAATTGCTCCACTTCCACAAATGAGCATTCGGCCAAGGGTCATGCACTGATTAAATCAAGCACTAGGAAGCAAAACATGATAATCAAGGCTAAGGAAGTTAGGAAATGTGTGAATTCTGATCAGCCTGTATTACTCATGATTTGCAAACATGTACTTTTGAATGTTGATGAACACGATAGGGCATTGCCTTCGAGAGTAGTTGCTTTGTCGCAGGTTAAGCAAGGAGAGAATGAGTTGATCATGGCATGTTCCATCCTTAACTCCATTGGTGATTATCAGAATCTTCATGAAGTTTGCCTCTTAAGTGTTGTATCCCTTTACGATCCATTGGTATTTAACTTCACCTATGAGCCTGTTTTGCTTGTTGGGAGGAGTAATGGAGTTACTTGAATCATGTCCTATGCCTTCTTACCATTTTGCAACAAGTGTTCCAAGTGATGATCAGTCTAATGCAGTTGAACGTGTTCAAAGTGTTCTTCATTATATCAGTTGCATTTTGGAGGATCCAAAAAGATGTAACCTTGCTGCCAATGAACCATACATTCTACATTGCATCATGGAACCGAAGCTATATGTGTTATCTTCGAGGAGTCATTGGAGTAAAGCCATGAGTTTTTCTTGGCTGGCTGTGAGCATTTTCAAACTGACCAAGAGACATGTGCACCGCATTATAATAATCATGACGTATGCAAGTATCATTCAATATAAGAGGGCCAATATGTGGTGGCATTAGATTTGAGGTTTCATACTCCCAACTCTTGCTGGTATCATTCATTTCCATCCAGATTTGAGGACAAATCCTTCTCAAATGGAGGGGACTGATGTGTGCATGTATGGCGGCCTTGACTCAAGGCTTCCATTGGAACATTGAAGGCTCGAAAGTTGCTAATCAAGGCATCTACACATTGATCCAAGTCAAGGAAGCATCAAGCGCGGCCTTAGCATCTTCGGCCGAGCACTAGGAATGTTAGCATTGCTAGTCATATGAGTTGTTAGTTGGTTTTGATCATTATCGAGTCATTAGTTGTTAGTTGGATTGTTAGTCGTGTTTTAATTAATAGTTTATTAGTTATTGGAGTCAAACAATCGGCCCACCTATGTTCAAGAGTGGATCGAGCTCCTTTTCTAGTTTAGGTTGATGGGCCGCCAATCCTTGGCCACAAAGGATTAGGCTCCTAAGGTTTCTAGCCTATAAAAAGGCACTTTTTGTACCAGCAAAGGTTAAACACTTTTGATAATAAAATTTCAGTTTGTTCTCTTACAATTTCAAGAGTACATTCCTACTTGCTTGGCAAGGGTTATTTGAGCAATCACGCGTGACGTCCTTGGTTGTTCATCCGGCCTATCTACTTGAGTAATCACCTCAATTGGAGTCGCTGTTCTACCGCTTTGAATCGAGTTGAGTCGTCTCTCTTGGCTCTAGGTTCCGCAATCCAAATGGTTGAGTATCCTTCTAGGTCCTTGGGCAATCGTGCCACGTGTCTCGGAACGAGTTGACCGGGGAACGTATCAGTTGGCTTCAGAGCTGGTTGAGGTATCAAGTCGTTATATCCTCTTACTTGTTCTTGTCTAGTTCGTTTTAGGGTTCCTAGTTTTTCGCTGTCTTGTTTATTTGTTGCATTGCTAGTTGTTTCTTCGTTGTTCACAAATCTGTCTGAAGTTGTTTCGCCATTGGCGTTGTGAGGACTCGCAAATTCCTTGTGTTTTTCTTCAAAAATACCCTTTTATTTGAAAAATTATTATTTAGCAAAGGCCACTACCCAAATATTTCACATTAAGTGTAGATAGACCTAGAAAATAGGGTTTTACGCTTCGGTTTTAAGTTTGGAGCAAAATTTGGGTTTTCGCGATTTTTCGCCGGATGAATTTTCGGTACAGAGTAAGAATTAATTTGGGGATTAAAAGTGACTTTTAAGTGAGAAATAATATGTGACTAGTGGCAATGATATAAGGTTAGTGAATGGGAAGTGAAAAATCTAGTACGTGAGTTTTTAAGAAAAACGGCGCGATCCGGCGGGTCCCGCGCATTACCGGTTGAACGCACCACTTGACCACCACTTTCTTACCCTACAAGCTCATTGATAATTGAGCAAAATATCTTCTTATATTACAGCTAAGGGAACCGAAATTGGTGGCTTATAAGCAAGGGAAAGAAAGAGAAAAATGAGTGGCCAAGATTAGGCCAAGTGTTGGGCAATTTGTGGACATCATTAGTTCTAATCTTTTGGCTTTATTATAAGATAAACTTAGCCTCATTTCTCTTCATATTTCTGCCTAAGAGCCGAGAGGGAGAGGGAAGAAAACACCAAGGGAAATTTCTTCATTTCATCTTCAAATCCAACAATTTAGTGAGAAAATAAACAAAGTAAACCGATTAAACTTGTTCCTAAGTGACTAGGTGGTGATTTGTGGTAAGCTTTGGAAGGAGGAAGCTTGGGCTACTCTTTGTGATCTCTATTCAAGGTAAGAGAGTTTATCTCTCCAAGTTTTACTTCTAATCTTGTTAAATTAAGCCTAGTAACTTGATTTTATGGTGAGATTATGGATGATGAGCATGTTTTAGTAGTTTTCCCCAATTTATTTGATGCACTAGGGCTTATGGAAATTCTGCCCAAATGGTTGTATGATGTTTATATGATGCAATTGAGGTTTCATATGGTGTTGTGGTAGTGATTGGACCAAGAAATTAAGGAAAGATTCACTAGAAACTCAAAATTTCCAAAATCTGGAAAATGGTTCTAACATTCTGTCCGAATTTTTATCTATATGTTAGAGGCTGTTTGGGCCTTAGATCAAAGAATAAAAGTTGTAGAGAATGGAATTTTATAGGTGCCTACAAAATTTCAGCTCAATCGGAGCAACGCAGGACGTGAAAAGTCCAAAATACCCCTACTGTTCTAAGTATTTCCCAGCAGTCCGTTTCTTCAGTTCAGTCCAGTTTATCACGATTTTTGACCAGGATCCATTCTGATTTAGCTCTGGGCCGAAACATGAAAGTTGTAGTGTTCTGAAGTAGCTTTAAAATGCCTCAAAGAAGACCTGATTCGGACTTGTGTGGACTGAGTTATGACCATTATAGTGTTCTGCATTTAAACAGCCGACGAATTGGTTTCTGGTTTAGTAATTCGAGAATTTGACCAAGTTACATTAGAAACTGGACTTAGTGATATTCATGAACATTGTAGCCCTGAGTCTTAGCTTCGAAACGCCATAGGTTTCGTCTTAATC